AGAGTAACTTCTGTCTCCTGCAGCAGCCTTGCTGCTGCATAGATCTAGACACATCCCATGTCCTGTCTGCCACTAGGAGATTGGATTGTGCTGAAAGGGGAATTATGAGTGAGAATATGGGCTCTAAAAGCCAAAATAATTTAATATTTTTGTCAATGACTTTGTCATAAAATATCAGGTGCGTATGAGCTTAGCTAACAGGTGAGGTAGTGAAATGGCAGAGCAGAGGGCTGGAACAGCATTCAGGGGCAATGGGTGACATTGAAGGCTGAACTAATAGTCATAGGAGGAAATGGCATGGTACAAAATGCAAAGTCATGCCCTGGAGTCACTGAACAAACATTTATGCCATAAATTAGGCCCCCAGTTTGGAAGGTGTTAGAGGAAAAGGCCTGCATGCGTTCAGCAATCTCAGGATGAACATAGGCTGCCATGTAATGCAGCCACAAAGACATGGTTCATTCTTAACTCTATTGGGATGTATTTCCAGAAAAGGCAGATAGTGCCAGTGCTGTTGTACAGACCGTTATTCACAGACCATGTGCCAGTGCTGACCAGTCACTCTAAAACACATGAATTCATTGCAGAAGAGTTGCAGAGAAGAGCAACTGAGATGACTGAGGGAATGCAGAGAGGAGATGAGAGCAGCCCAGCTTGATAGCTTCTCAAAACAGACGTTGAGGGGAGATAAGGTTGCTCAGGGTACCTTTATCACTGAAAAACACTGGAGCAGGAGGAGATCTGCTTAAACTGATGGATAGGTTTTGCGTAACAGGAAATTGGTCTGAGCTGGCTGAAACCTAGGAGGATGTTTCTAGCTGCTGGAGGAGGCAGATTGGAATAAAATCCCAGAGCAGAGGTATAGGGAGCCTGCCCATTTTGCAGAAAGATTTCTATGGAAAGCTGCTGCCAAGCCAGGAGCAGGCATGCTGACCCAGGAGCGCCCTGCCAGCGACGTTTTCTTTGTTCAGGTGGGTTGATGTACTCCAGCTGGGGTCATGGACCTGGTTGGCTCTATGTCCCACACTTGAGAGCACCATCATGGACGTCATGGAGGTCTATGGCCCCCATGGGTGGGTAACACAGTCAGCAGGGAAAGCTGCTGTGCTGTGTGCGGGCTACCTGCTTCCTCACTCATGGCTGTGGCTTTGCTTGTCCTGGGGGCACAGCGATGGGTTTGCTGGTTTCCAATTCCTTTTCCAGCAGGCCAGGTCCCAGGGCTTTTGCGCTCAACCCCAGTCTTCTCCTATGAACCTGAGAAGTTACCCAGCGCATCCACTGTGGTGCGATGTTCCCGCAGGGACTGGGCAGCAGACACTCAGACTGCCTGACCGTTTCTTTTCACCTACTGCCCCCATGCCTCCAAAGAGTATTCAGATACTATTCAGATGCATTCAGTTATGCAACTAGCTTATAACTATGCAAATGTATGCAGCTTTTCCCTTACACAATGTCCTGTTTTCTTTCAGCTTCTTTTTCAGGAATTCAGCACTTCCTGTGGGAGTGCCATCTGAGTCCCCAGGAGCCATCTGGAACCCTCCCAGACTCAGATCCTCAGGCAGGCTGGAGCTGGCACTGACTCCTTTCAGAAGACTCACCACCCTGGCTACTTGAGTCCTCCTGCCCACCATCCTCTGCTTGCCTCGGTCCACCCCAGAGCCAGTGGCACAAGCTGGTGCCAATCCCCTGCAAGAAGCAAGAATATGGAGGGGGGGCTGCATCTGCATGGCCTGTCCAGCTCTGTAACCTGGCACCAGCCAACAGCAAGCATGTAGGAAGCATTGTGAGAACAAGGCAGGCATATACCAGCACTTCTCTGCCATGTCCTCACAGGTCCCAGGTGCTTGTGCCTCTGGTAACTCCTGAAACAAAGATCTCACCTGCTGTTCAGTAGCCCTTGATGGGTTTTCCTCCATGACTTACTCCAAATGCTTTTTGAATCCACAGAAACTTTTAGCATCCAGGACATCCTGCAGCAGGAAGTTCCTCAGCTCAGCTACCCAGAGTATGCAGAATTACTTCCTTCAACCTGAACTGCCTTCATGCTAGATTCTGCAATAACCCTCAATCCTTGTGTTGGAAAAGACAGTGAAATCATCTCCCCACTGCCAACTACTATGCCATCCACCTTGGTAATCTCTCCATCTGTGGAATATGCTCAGTCCTTCCTTTTTCCTTCTTAGGCTTCTCCGAGTCCTCACAAGATGGGACAATGAGATAGGACAATGAACACCTCAGTAGATGGTATTCTGTTCTCTGCTCCCTTCCTAGTAATTTCTAGCAACTCCATTCCCACTGTGGAGCAGAGTGGATAAGTCTGGGAAGTCCCTGTGCTGCTCCATGCCCGAATTAGACATGCCTATATTAGGCCCTTGTTAGTCTTTTTGTTAGTAAGCTTCCACTGATGCAGTGGCTCTGTTGCCCCTGGGACTGAAGCGTTGTGTCTCATGGGAACCTCTGCCAGCACCTTCCTATGCCTCCCCAGCAAGAATGGGTGCTCCTGCCCTGCGCCATGCCGCAGGGCTGCAGGCTCTGTGTGGCCCCCAGGCATCCTACAGCTGTCCACATGTGTAATATGAGGGTGGCTGAGATGAAACCACTCAGCCAGCCACAGGGGCAGCCCATGGGCCTGGCTCTCCCAGTGCGCTCGTGTGGCTCCAGAGCTCTGGGGATCACTCTCCAGAGGCACCCGCAGCTGTGGTGGGCACATCCAGGGCCCCCCCTTAGCCTCTCCCTGTGGGTGATCCTCCCTGTGGCTGTGGCCCTGTGCCAGCCACACCACGGGCCGTGCGCCCAGCAGGATGGCTGAACTTGCCTGCAGCTCTGGGGGAGGCTGCAGCCCTTGCAGCTTTCAGGATCTGAGCGGGCCCCCGCAATGTGCCACCATCCCCCAGGGCAGTGTGGTCTGGCGGTGGGGCTCATCCCTGGGAAGTCTGTCCCTGGCCAAAGGACTGACTTGCATCCTCCCCGTCCCTTTGTGAGAGGAGAGCTGGCGAGGCAGTGGGGACGGTGGGGTATGTGAGCGCCCGAGCACAACGGGGCCCTGCAGCACCGTGGGGTGCTGCTCCCCACCTC